TTATTTATTTTTATTTGTGGTACTGAGAATTGAACCCGTGCCTCATACATGCTAGGCAAGCGCTTTACCACTAGCCATAACCCCAGCCCCAATAATTTTTTTAATAAAGAAAATAAGTAGGATGTCAAGAATGTGAAGAAATGGAATCTTTAAATTTGTAAGAAAGTGAAATGGTGCAGCCTCTATAAATAGTTTGGCAGCTTCTGAAAATGTTAAGTGCAGAATATATGACTCAGCAATTCTACTTACGTGTATCCACAGAAATAAAAACATATTTCCACACAAAAATTTGTACACAAAAATATTCATCATACTATTCACAGATGCCAAAAAGTGGAAACAATCTAAATATCTATCAAATAATATATGAAAAAACAAAATTTGTTATATTTACACCATGGAATACTACTTGGCAATAAAAGGGGAAGAACATTGATACATGCTACAACATGGATGAATTTCAAAAATATGCTCAGTGAAGCTGGGTGCACACCTGTAATCCCAGCTACTCGGAAGATTGAAACAGGAGGTTCACAAGTTCAAGGCCAGCCTGGGTAACTTAGACCCTGTCTCAAAATAAAAAATAAGGGCTGGGGATATAGCTCAGTGGTATTGCACCCCTGGATTCAAACACCAGTACTGTAAAAATAAGAGCTAGGTGAAAAAACAAACTCTTGAATCAAATTAATACAAATTGTAAAATTTCACATATATGAATTATCCAATATAGGCTAATCTTGAGATGGAAAGCAGATTAGTGGCTGCCAGGGACTAGGGCTGGGAATGAAGGATGATTAAAATTGGTAAAAGATTTCCTTCCTTCTTTTTTTTTTTGTTCTGGGGACTGAAACCCAAGATTGCTTTACCACTGAGCTACATCACCAGTCCTTTTTAATTTTTTTTTTTTTGAGACAGGATCTTGCTAAGGTTGCTGAGGCTCTTGTTAAATAGCTAAGGCTGGCCTAGAACTTGCAACCTCCTTACAGCTAACCAAATTGCTCAGATTCTAGATGTGCACTACTTGTAACCAGCATGAGATTTCCTTTAGGTGATGAAAATGTTCTAAAATAATATTGTGGTGACAGTGGTATACTCTATATAAATACACCTAAAGTTGAACTGTACAGTTAAAATGGGAGAATTTATGACATATAAATTGTTTAAGAATAAAGCTGTTTAAAAAAAAGAAACCCAGGCATGTTTTCTTATAATCCCAGTGTCTCAGAAGGCTGAGACAGGAAGATCACAAATTTGAAGCCAGCCTTAGCAACTTGGTGAGATTCTGTCTCAAAATTTTAAAAAAACATAAGATAAAAAAGTTTGGTGGGCTGGAGTTGTGGCTCAGTGGTAGAGTGCTTGCCTCACACATGTGAGGCACTGAGTTTGCTCCTCAGCACCACTTAAAAACAAAACAAATAAAAAAAGGTATTGTGTCCATCTACAACTAAAAAATAAAAAAATAAAAAAAAATTGGGGGCTGGACATGTTTCAGGCCTGTAATTCCAGTGGCTCAGGAGGCTGAGGCAGGAGGATCATGAGTTCAAAGCCAGCCTTAGAAATTTGGCAAGACCCTGAGCAACTTGGCAAGACCCTGTCTCTAAATAAGATATTAAAAAAAAATGGGGAGAGATGGAGATATGGCTTAGTGGTTAAGTGCCTCGGAGTTCAAACCCTGGGGGGGGGAAAAGGTTTGGGGTTATAGCTCAGTGGTAAACCACCTGATTTCAATTCCCAGTACCAAAGAAAGGGAAAAGAACAACCCTGAGATAAACATCAGAGGATTTCATTGCTATAGAAATTACGAATCTATAAAAGGGATCTTTTCTCCCAGTAAGTCCTAAGGCAGCTCAATTCCCAGAGAGAAAATGGAAGATGGACAAGATGGTGCCTCACCAGACACAGCCTCCAGCTGCTTAGTAAGAGCATGCATGATGACATCGTTCTCCACTATATAGCCCATGTCATCTAAATTATCCTTATCGAACATTATCAAGGCCTCTGAGCACGCATCCCACACCTGAAAACACAAAAGGATAGCCTGCATTAAAACCAAGGTGAAGGAAACAGACTCCAAATAGAAACTGATAATTTCTTAAGTGGCAGAAGCAGAAATTAAAAATTGTCAGCCTCTCTGGCAGGAGATAAAAGGTGAGAAGATTGTGAGCAATGCTTCTCCCACTTCCTTAGACTGAATGTGAGCTTTGTCTGATTCTTCCCACGTTCTCAGAACACCTGGAGAGCATGGACTCCAACATCTTAATATCCGAGAGACAAAGACATATTGCCAAAAGTGAAAAAGGAAAAGGAAGTACCTGCATTCGCCGAAAGGCTCTGTATCTCATGTTGCAAATGTGATCCCAAGCACCAAAACCTACAAAAGAAAGGATCTACAGATCTACAAAAGAAAAGATCCAAAAGGAACCTGGCTCCTGCACTCCCTTTTGTCCCTTTTGTCCTGTTAAATAAGAGGTGGTCTTCAGTATTGTCCAATAACAGAAAAAACATCCTCTCTGCCCCTACCCTGTTTGTTTCTAGGAGCTAAACTGTTCTCCAGTTCCAGATTGTACAGCGTGAAAAAAGGCCCAAAAGGTAAATCACATTAAAGTAGGAGGAATAAGGAAAACCAAATTCATATTGTTATTTTTTATAATCTAAGTAAAATCATAAATATTTAAAGGTCATTTTTATTTTCTAACGATTTGTGGCAAAGAAATATTTACTGAACATCTACTATGTACCATTATAAATCTAGTTACTGAGCAGAAAGTAGAAAGCCAAAGTCCCTGCCTTCTGCAGCTGACAATCCAATTTGAGATGGACCACAAAAAACACAATATAATGTCAGGTAAGTGCTATGAAGAAAAACAAAGCAGTATAAGGGTCTCCCTCATGAGGGAAGAGTTTACTTTTAGGAAGGGTGGTTTTAGACAGGATGTCTGAGGAGTAACATCTGCAAGAGACCCTAAAGAGAGATGCTAACTGGTTCTATATGCATATACGTTCATCTATACCCCAAAACATTTAGCATACAGACTTCCTAGTCTACTTGAGGACTGACTCTGGGAATGCAGAGTGAATGATCAGATAGTTCACATAGATTCAGTCCTACCGTAATGACCTAACTTCACATACCAAGTCCACATAATGGAGCCGCATGTCTCAAGGATGGCTTCCTCAGACTGGGAGTTGTTACACTGACAACTTCATCTCTGATTATGCCCTAGACTGCCAAGCTCACCTCCCGCTCCCTACCCACAGTGAGATCCCTCTCCATAGATGCTTTGGTGACTGTCCTATGGGGCTACTGGAAGGCTGAAGGGGAAAGAGGTTGGACCTGTGAGAGAAGTTCTACTTACTACTGAGAAGGGTTGCAGAGCCAGGGGAAATGGAGCTGACCCTGTTGCTGTACGTTTCTGACAACTTCTCCAGAACTCTCTTTGGACCTGCTTCTAGCAACAGGATTTTTTTATCACGGAAGTGGATATCATGTCCTAAAACAAACAAAAACATTTCATATGATTTTTAAAAAGTCAAAAATGTAATTGCACAGTAGTATGACTACAGATATAATGTACTTACTGTACACTTCAAAAAGCTAGAAGAGAGCATTTTGAATGTTTTCACAATAAAGAAATGATAAATGTTTGGGTAGACAAATGTTTAACCTGATTTAAATAATCAAGCAAGTATATATACATCAAAACATTACATGGAAAAAATATTACATGGTATACCATTAGTATATGCAACTTTTTAAAAACATTTTTTTAGTTGTAGATGGACATAATACCTTTATTTATTTTTATGTGGTGCTGAGGCTCAAACCCAGTGCCTCAGATGTGCAAGGCACTTGTGCGCTCTACCACTGAGCCACAACCTCAGCCCCAATGTGTGCAATTTTAATGTTTTTGTTTCAGTTAAAAATAAATTTAAGCCAGGTGCAGTAGCACATGCCTATAATCCCAGTGACTTGATGAAGCAGAAGGATTCCAAGTTTGAGGCCAGCATCCACAATCTAGTGCAACACTGTTTAAAAAAAAAAAAAAAAAAGGATGGGAATATTTCAGTGGTACAGAACCACTGGGTTCAATATCCATTACTGGGTAAAAATTAAACATAAAAGATAAATAAAAAATTTTAAAAAATATTGTTTTAGTTGTAGATGGACACTATACCTTTATTTTATTAATTTTTGTGGTGCTAAGGATCGAACCCAGTGCCTCACACATGCTAGTACTTTACCACTGAGCACCAGTCCCAGCTCAAAAGTTTAATTCTTTAGGTCTTAGAATACAAAATTTCTCAAAGGACATTTCTCATGTAACATAAAACTCCTAAGTATAACATATTTCACCTCTTTAGTCAGGAGAACTACCTCATCCAAACTGCCAGACTTCTCTAGATAAAGTTCACTACATGCCATGTGCAAAGAAGCAAATTACAAAATATAAAACTAGCAATAGGATTTTCCAGAAAGGAAGAATGAAGTGAAAAATACAAAAGTGTTTAGATATCTCATATTTCCAATCTTGAGACTATTAACTCCTGGCCTGGAGGGTTAGCCTAGTGGGAGATAACAATATGGTACTGTACATCTCAAGCATATGTGAAGCCCTGAGTTCAATCCCCTGTACCCCCCCCACACACATACACACACACATAAAAAAAAAAAAAAAAAAAGAAAAGAAAAGAAAGAAAAAGGAAAGAAAAATCCTGTTTAATAGAAAAATAAACAAACAGAACTCACAAGATTAAATCAAATCAGAGTTTATAAAAATGAAAAGGTAACCAGAGATCCATCAATTGTGCCTACAAATCTAATCCTAAAACACTGGCAGAAATAATAAAAAAGGGATTGGAGCCAGGGCTGGTGGCCCCAGTGGTTCAGGAGGCTGAGGCAATAGGATCACAAGTTCAAAGCCAGGCCCAGCAACTCAGTGAGCCCTGTCTCAAAATAAAACATTAAAAAAA